GCCTTAAGCCACCACAAATCTTCAGTGCAAGATCTAGATCATGTGGTTGATCTTTGAATGGCTGTTGATGTGTTGATGTTTCTGACATTAAAATCCCAAAGCTGTAAATGTCTGATTTTTGTGTGTAAGGTTTCTTATTTAATACCTCTGATGCAACATATGGTAGTACTCCAAATATATCATTTTTGCTTTCACTTGATGTTCCTTGATCAGTTGAGCCTGATAACCCTAAATCTGTAATCATTGCCTGGGATAAATAATTAAAATATAAAATATTACCACTATGAAGATCTGTGGTTGATCTTTAAATGGCTGTTGATGTGTTGATGTTTCTGACATTAAAATCCCAAAGCTGTAAATGTCAGATTTTTGTGTGTAAGGTTTCTTATTTAATACCTCTGGTGCAATATATGGTAGTACTCCAAATATATCATTTTTACTTTTACTTGATGTTTCTTGATCAGCTGAGCCTGATAACCCTAAATCTGTAATCATTGCCTGGGATAAATAATTAAAATATAAAATATTACCACTGTGAAGATCACCATGTGTAAGTTTTTCTTGGTGAAATGTGTTTAAACTTGAAATGATGTCATAAAGTATTGTGATTCTGTCATTCCAATTTCTACAATTTGATTTTAAATATTCCCTGTAATCTCCTTGGTCTGCATATCTCATTATGAGAACATATTCTTTTGTATTTGGATCTTGTGAAATACCATAAATATTAACAATGCCCATTTGATGAGGTCCTATAAATTTAATGTGATTTTGAAGCTTTATGAAAATTAATAAAAAATTAATATATTATTTAAAAATCATTAATTGTCAAATTATATCAAATTATTTATATACCTCTTTTAAAAACTCATCAGAAATGCTTTGTGAGTTTTTAATCTTTTTTAATGCTACATGACCACCTTCACAATAATATCTTCTATTTTCATAAACATATCTAGGACCATTTAACCAGCGACACCTATACACAGTTGCAAAACCACCTTCACCTATTCCTCCTTCAACTGTGAGTTGTTCATAAGGAATCCACTCAAGGTAATGATAACTATCAAATCCTTTTGCTTCAAGCTGTGTATTTCTGATTATGTCATCTAATTTTTTATTACCACTGCTAGTCCAACTTTGAGATAACAATTTAGGATCACATGATTGACACCACTGGTAATTAGTATTATATCTTCTACAAACAGAACAGGTTCCATATTCTTTTTTCCCTTTTTTAAACTCCTTGGTGGTGTTATCTTATTATTTAAATAATTAATTTTTTCATTATAAAAAAAATTCAAAATAAAATAGAATTATTTTCAATATAGCATAATAAAAACATTCATTTAAAAGTATAAAAAAAATTAAATTTATAAATTATTTTACATTCAGTTGTTAGTTATTATAAAACATAAAAAAAATTTATATATTTAGTCAAGAGCTTTGATAAAAATTATTTTGTGTTGTAAAAGTTATTTTATAATTATAACATAATATTTACCAGCTGATTATTATGAAGGAATAAAAATTATTTAATTAAATGATGATGTTATAAAAATTACTTACATGCTGGTTATCATAAAGAAAAATAAATTTATTAATTAATTGATGTTTTAATAAAAATTATTTGTAAAAGTTTATGATACAATACTTACTTCCTGATTATTATAAAAATTTATTAATCAGATAATGTTTTAATAAAATTTATTTTGTGTTGATTTATAATAATATATTACTTACCAGCTGGTTATTATAAATAAAAAAATAAACTTATTGATTTGATATAAAAAATTATAAAGTTGATTTATAACACAATAAAATGCTTACCAGCTGGTTATTGTGAAAAAATAAAAATGAATTTTATTTAGTTGATGTTTTAATAAAAATGATTTTATGTTATGTATAAAAGCATAATACTTACAATCTGGTTATAAAAAAAAGTAAAAATTGTATTTATTTAATTAGACAATGTTTTAATAAAATTTAGTTTGTAAAAAGTTGATTTATAATATAATACTTACAAACTGGTTATTATAAAGAAATAAAAAATAAAATTATTTAATTAGATGATGTTGATGATAAAGTTTATTTTGTGTTGTAAAAGTTGATTTATAATATAATACTTACACTCTGGTTATTATAAAGAAATAAAAAATAAATTTATTTAATTAGATGATGTTGAAGATAAAGTTTATTTTGTGTTGTAA